CCGGAGCCTAGGTCGGACGNGGGCCTGTCGCAGCCGCAAATCCGCGCCGCCGCATCGCCGTCGGCGAGCCGCACGCCGACGCGTGGCTTCAGCCTGGTGGATGACGGTCCGGTGGCATCCGCACAGGGCGTGCGGCAGGTGACGCGAGGCGCGCGTCGCAACTCGAACCAGGTGGCGTCGCCCGTCTCGCCGGCGGGCAGCGCGACGGGGGGTCGGTTCTCTGCGCTGCCGCCGGGCGCGGCGCCACCGAGCAGGAACCCTTACGACCAGTAGCGGCCTGATGCTGCCTCAACGGACACAACGGACTCTATCAATGCATCCTCTAACATCCTCCTTACCAACCTCTTGGTGCCCTCGCCACTTCAAGCTTCGACCTCTGCTGCCGCCGCCGCCGCCACCGCCGCCGCCTTCGTCGACCTCCGTCATGGCCGGATGGGCTTCGAAGGGTGTGTGTGTCAGCGCGCGAGCGGTTGAGGGATGCTACGCCGGGCGTGCCTCTGCCATTCGCCCACCCCCTTTCGTCTTTCCACTGCCTTTTGACCGCGAATGGTGAGCAGTCGCCCTCTATATCATAGACTTGCGTCGAAGCGTTGTGCCTCTTTGCTGTTTGTGGGTCGCCTGCCGCGACTTTGCTTTGCCGTGCGCGGCCTACCCTCTGTCGTTGACCGCTCGTCGCCGCCGCCGTGTGGCTGGCCATCCAAGCCACCGCTGGCTTGCCTTTGCGTGCGCCGCCGGTGCCTAGCTTGAACAATTTCTTCGTTTAGCCTGCTGTATCCAGCTCGATTGTTTGTCGTCACACGCCTCCATAGCTTGACCAGCACCTGCGATCCTCATCCTCATCCTCATCCTCGATCTCGTCGCCTCGCGCCTCGGTGCGAAATGGAACCTTCATTATTGTTTGGCCTTGTCGTGTACGGCCGTCGGGAGCGACTTCCGATTCTAAGATTTTTGTTGCCTGGTTGGTGGGTGCAAAACCCCCCCGAGGGCCGCCAGGTCAGCCCGCGCGTCGCCGCCGAGAACAAAAAGAAAAAAACCAGCCAGCTGAGGCCTGCCACGCTGGGGGTTGCCGCCAGATCTGACGCCTGCTGGGAACAAAAAAGCAGAGCGGAGGCAGCCGACGGCCATCATGTGGAGGGTGCCATCCGGACTTTAGTCGAGTCGAACAAGGCGGGGGCCCGTCAGCGTCGCTCAGCTCAGCCGAGAGCCTGCCCTTCCCTGCCCGGCTTTCCCCCTGCCTGCCACGCCGGCCGAGCCGAAGTCTAGGTAGCAGCGAGCGAGGATCGTCTGGGCCGCGTTGGCTGGCTGCCATGCGGGCCGGCCGGCCCCCCTCTCTCGAGGCTGCTGCTGGGCTCGTTTGGGCCAGACGCACGCACGCACGCTCACGCCGCCTCTTTCCCCCCCCACGTCACGGCAGCCCCCTTTCCGACCGAGCAACTGGCAGAGAAGTGCTCAGCCTTCTTCGATCTTTTTTTGGCCTGATTCCCCTCTGCTGCTGGCCGGCGACCCTGCCCGACACCTCCATCTAGGCCTGCCTGCCTGTCCATCCTTCGCAGCCCTTGGCCTTCCTTGTCCCGCCCACCATCACCGCCACCTCCGCCCATCTCATCCGCCCCTTGGATCCCCCCCTCCATTCGCCATCCGCCATCCTCTGGCACCGAGCGGCAACCAACAAGACCCCCTCGCACCACCCCATCCGCTCGCGGCGTTGGCCTTGCACCTTGCTTGCCTGCCCGTCATCCTTTCATCCCCCTTCTTACCCTCGCCCGGATCCCTCACCGCTAGGCGCTGTCGCCTCCGGCCAGCCATCCAGCCATGGACTCGGCTGCCTCGTTGAGCGAGGTCGCCGCACCTCCAGCCTTGGGCCCGCTCGCACCACTCGACCACATCGACGCACAAAATGCCGTCACGGTCCCTCTCATGGCGCTGCCCCTGCGCATCTTGCAACACTCGCTCTCCGTCGCAAAGCATGGCGCCTTGGGCAAGGTTTGCTCCAACCCCGAAGGCTGGGGACCCGTGTCCCAGCAGCGCGAGCTCGACTTTACCCCCTGCTTTCAGGAGGTCGCCTTCTGGATCGGCCCCGTCTTTCTTCTCGCCATCTTCGGCGGACTTCGCCTCGCAAGCCTCACACGGCTCGAGCCCCGCAAGCTCACTCGCCTCTCGCGCTTCCTCCTCCAGATCAAGCACATTCTTGTCGCCCTCCTCGTGATGACCGCCGCCTTCCAGGTCTCCGTTACCTTTGGACTCTACCGCAAGCCGGAAGAGTCCGTCATGTTCTGGTCCTCGCTCGTAGGCCTGGTCGGCTACCTCCTGGTCATCGCCCTGCAGCACTTCAACCACACCCGCACCAGGAGCAGCTCCGATACCTTGCTCCTCTTCTGGCTCTTCCACCTCGTCGCCAGCTCCATCAAGCTCAGGACCAACCTCACCGTCCCCTCGCTCCCCATCCGCCAGCAGCTGCCCACCTTTATCCCCTTTGCCATCCGCTTCGGCCTCGGCCTCGCCGTCTTTCTGCTCGAATGCGCCGGCGTCGAGGTGGGGCTCTCGCAGCAGGACGGTACCCGGAAGCCCGTCGGCGCTGCAAACGGGGGGCAAGAGAACGGCGGTTCCCCCACCGCCACCTACCGTTCCCTCGGCAACGGCAACGCCAGCGCCTTTAGCATCTTCAGCGACGCCAACAGCGAGGCCGGGCCCGACTACGAGACGCTCGGCGGCGCAAAAGAGTGCCCCGTCGAGACGGCCAACCTCTTCAGCCGCATCTCTTTCCACTGGATGCAGCCCATGATGACGCTCGGCGCCAAAAAGTTCCTCACCGAGGACGACATGTGGGCGCTGCCGGCCAAGGAGGATGCCGAAAACCTCGGAAGGCGCTTCGACAAGTACTGGCCCCTCTGCAAGGACAAGAAGACGGGCAAGCCGGCGCTGTGGACGACGCTCGCCTATGCCTACGGCGGGCCCTTTTTCTTTGCCGGCCTGCTCAAGGCGGTCCAGGATTCGCTGGCGTTTGTGCAGCCCCAGACGCTGCGCCTGCTGCTCAGGTTCGTCCAGGACTGGGACAGCGAGGACCCCAACCAGAGCGCCACGCCTGGCTTCCTCCTCTCGCTGGCGCTCTTTGTCATCGCCATTGTCCAGACCTCGTTCCTGCACTCCTACTTCCAGATCTGCTTTGTCACCGGCATGCGGGTGCGCGCCGGGCTGGTGAGCGCCATCTTCAAAAAGAGCCTCCGCCTCTCCAACGAGGAGCGCGGCACCCGCGCCACGGGCGACATCCAGAACATGATGTCGGTCGACGCGCAGCGCCTCATGGACCTCTGCTCGTACCTCTGGATCGCGCTCAGCGCCCCGTTCCAGATCACGCTGGCCTTTGTGTCGCTCTACAACCTGCTCGGCTGGTCGTCGATGGTGGGCGTCGCCATCATGGTCGTCGCCGTGCCCCTCAACACGATGCTGGCGCGCTACCTCCGCAAGCTCAGCGAGCGCCAGATGAAGGTCAAGGACAAGCGCACCCGCCTCATGAACGAGATCCTGACCAACATCAAGTCGATCAAGCTCTTTGCCTGGGAGGAGGCTTTTGCCCGCAAGCTCTACCGCGTCCGCAACGACGAGGAGCTCAAGCTGCTCAAGCGCGTCGGCATCGTCAGCGCCACCTTCAACTTCTTCTGGACCGCCGTGCCCTTCTTTGTCTCGCTCGCCACCTTTGTCACCTACGCCTACACCAACCCGGAACCCCTCACCGCCGACATCATCTTCCCCGCCATCGCCCTCTACCAGCTGCTCTCGTTCCCCATCGCCATGTTCGCTGGCATCATCTCGGCCATCCTCCAGGCCCAGGTGTCGGCCAAGCGCCTCTCCGACTTCTTCGACGCCGGCGAGCTCGACCCCGAGGCCCGCAAGGTCATCCTCCCCGGTCAATCGGCGCCGCAGAACCCCGACGAGCCGGCTCGCCCCATCGAGCCGCTGATCGCCATCAACGACCCCAGCACGGATGCGCGCGAGGCGCGCGAGGATGAGGAGGTGGTGCGGATCCGCAACGGCGAGTTCAAGTGGTCGAGGTCGCAGCCGGTGCCCACCCTGCAGGACATCAACCTCTCGGTCAAGAGCGGCGAGCTGCTCGCGGTGCTTGGCAAGGTCGGCGACGGCAAGAGCTCCCTGCTCTCCGCCATCCTCGGCGAGATGGTGCGCACCGACGGCGAGGCCGTCATCAAGGGCCGCACCGCCTACTTTTCCCAGGGCGGCTGGACTATCGGCGCCTCGATCCGCGACAACATCCTGTTCGGCCTGCGCTACGAGCCCGACTTCTACCAGCGTGTCCTCGAGGCGTGCGCCCTGACACCCGACCTCCAGATCCTTCCCGACGGCGACCGGACCGAGGTAGGCGAGCGCGGAGTCAGCCTGTCGGGCGGTCAGCGAGCGAGGGTCGCCCTCGCCCGAGCGTGCTACGCGCGTGCCGACATCTACCTGCTCGACGACCCGCTTGCTGCCGTCGATGCCCACGTCGGAGCACACATCTTCAAGAACGTCATCGGACCCAAGGGACTGCTCAGGCACAAGGCGCGCATCCTCACGCTCAACTCGGTCGCCTGCCTGCCCGAGTGCGACCAGATTGTCTCTGTCCGCCGAGGCATCATCCTCGACGAGCGCGGCACCTACGACGAGGTCATGGGCAAGAAGGGCGATCTGTACAACCTCATTACTGGTCTCGGCAAGCAGTCCGCCCGCGAACAGCAGGTCAAGGAGGAGGAGGAGGGCGACGGCATTGCCGAGCCCGCCGACCTCGAGGTCATCGACGAAGACAAGGAGATCAACTCGCACGGCCAGGGCGCCGAAGAGTCGCTCGGCAAGAACAAGCTGCACCGCAGGATCAGCACGGCATCGATGACCCGGCCCAAGACGCTGACCAAGCGCCAGATCAAGCAGGATCAGCTGCGCCAGCTGCGCGAGAGCTCGATGCCCAAGGAGAAGCAGGAGCAGGGCTCGGTCAAGGGCGACGTCTACAAGGCCTACGTCAAGAGCTCGAGCCTGGTGGGCGTCGTCATCTACCTGCTCGGCCACATCCTGACCCAGGTGACCACCATCGGCCGCGACGTCGTCCTCAAGCAGTACGGCGAGCTCAACAGCCGCAACGGCGGATCGCCCGAGCAGACGCGCTTTTACCTGATCCTCTATGGCGTCACTGGCATCTTTGCCGCCGGCTTCGTCTGCGTGTCGCCCTTTATCCTCTGGACGTGGCTCGTGATCCGCAGCGCCCGCAAGTTCCACGACGATATGTTCAACGCCGTGATGCGCAGCCCGCTGCAGTGGTTCGAGACGACGCCGACCGGAAGGCTGCTCAACCTCTTCAGCCGCGACGTCAATGTCATCGACGAGATCCTCCCCCGCGTGATCCACGGACTCGCCAGGACCTTTATCGTCGTGGTCGGCGTGCTCGTCGTTGTCACCTACTCGGTGCCGCCGTTCGCCATCGCCATTATCCCGCTGGCGTTTGCCTACCGCGCCATCATGCGCTACTACCTCGCCACCAGCCGCGAGCTGAAGCGCCTCGACTCGGTCTCCAAGACGCCCATCTTCACCTGGTTTCAGGACTCGCTCGGCGGCCTCAGCTCGATCCGCGCCTTTGGCCAGGAGACGCGCTTCATCGCCACGTCTGAGGCGAGGGTCGACCGCAACCAGCAGTGCTACCTGCCCGCCATCACCTGCAACCGGTGGCTGGCGGTGCGGATCGAGTTTATGGGGTCGTCGATCATCTTCATCGCTTCGTCGCTCGCCGTCTTTGTCAAGACGCGCAACGGCAACATGGACGCCGGCCTGCTCGGGCTGATGCTGTCGCAGGCGCTCTCGACAACGCAGGCGCTCGCCTGGGTCGTGCGGCAGGCGAGCGAGGTCGAGCAGGCCATGGTCGCCGTCGAGCGCGTCATGTCTTACACCGACCTCGCCTCCGAGGCGCCCTACGAGATCGAGGACCAGAAACCCGGGCCGGACTGGCCGTCGCAGGGCGAGGTGGTCCTGCAGAACTACTCGACGCGCTACCGGCGCGAGCTCGGCCTGGTGCTCAAGAAGCTCGAGCTCGACATCAAGCCGGGCGAGCGCGTGGGCGTCGTGGGCCGCACGGGCGCAGGCAAGTCGAGCCTGACGCTCGCCCTCTTCCGCATCATTGAGGCGGCCGAGGGCAAGATTGTCATCGACGGCATCGACGTCTCCAAGATCGGGCTCAAGGACCTCCGTTCGGCCATCGCCATCATCCCGCAGGATCCGCAGCTGTGGGAGGGTACGCTGCGCGACAACCTCGACCCGACGGGCAAGTCGGACGACGCCGCGCTGTGGAAGTCGCTCGAGCAGGCAAGGCTCAAGGACCACGTCCAGTCGCTCGAGGGCGGCCTGGACACGATGCTGTCCGAGGGCGGCTCCAACTTCAGCGCCGGACAGCGGCAGCTGATCTGCATCGCGCGCGCCTTTTTGCGCAACGCAAAGATCCTCGTGCTCGACGAGGCCACCAGCGCCATTGACCTCGAGACCGACGCCCAGGTCCAGGCCATTGTGCGCTCCGAATTCAACGGCACCACGATCACGGTGGCGCATCGCCTCAACACGGTCATCGACTCGACGCGCGTCCTGGTTCTCAAGGACGGCACCGTGGCCGAGTTTGACACGCCGCAGAACCTGCTCGACAACAAGCAGTCGATCTTCTTTTCGATGGCCGTCGAGGCCGGCCTGGCAAAGGTGGACTCGTGATCGCGTCTCTTTGACCCTCCCCGGCCGGCGCCTCGTCCGGATCGCTGGTAGGACATGGATGTATAGATGCCGTCGTGCTGCCGCTCTGGGCCTCCCCGCACCTCTCGCCCCGCCTCTCGGATCGCGGCGCTGGCCCCTTCCTCTGTTCAACTATCTCTAGACGGTCTAATGCCAAGAGCGGTAGCGAATTGTGCGTTTGTGAGGTCGACGCTCGACTGTGCTGACCTGACGGTTGCGGGCCAGAGATGACAGGCCAGGCCTGGCAAGAGCAGGCAAGGCGGGTGGGGCGGGCGGGCGGATAGGTCGATCGGGAAAGAGGCTGCTCTCAGCATCGGGCCCGGGTTAGAAGATTTGGGGTCCAAGCGAGATCCCTGCATGTGGGGAAGCGACTCAGCCTGGCCGGCCTCTTTGACGGACTTGGGAGCCAGCCGCTCCTTCCTACCTCCGGCCACCACCACCACCACCACCACCACCACCACCACCACCAGCGCCACCAACTGCCACCATCTCGACCACGATTGCCATGGAGAATCCACCACAGTCGCTGTCAGGGCTCATCGCCACCGTCTGCCGCCAGGCGTCGAACCCTCCGCCCTACTTTCCTCCCGAGTCGACCGCTGCGGCGTCCACGTCCACGTCCGCGTCCTCAACGGTCACGGATGATCCGGCGCTCACCACGCTATCGCTGCTGCAGCGTGCGCAACAGCTGGCCAGCTCGCTCTCGGTCGTGAGCGACAACGATGCGCTGCGCGACATCTCGACGTCGTCGCTGCGGGTCCTGTTCCTCGATAGCCTTCGGGCCGAGCTCGAGATCCAGGTGAGGACCGGGCGCGACCACGCGGCGCGCAAGGCGCGGCTGCGCTCCAGCCTCGTCGCGTCGGCCCGCTTCCTCTCGCGGATGGCCGAGCTCAACGTGCTCCCGCCGCAGACGCGCTCCCTTGTCGTGCAGCTGCTCACCTCGGCCCGCCTCGCCTCGGTGCTCGGCCACGCTTCGGAGGCGGGCGAGGCGGCGGCGGCGACGAACCTGCTCGACAACCTCGAGCTGCCCGCCGGTGCGCCGAGGATGCCCCCGCGCGACCTCAAGATCACGTCGTTCAAGCTGGAACGCGCCCTCAAGCAGAGCCTCGACGAGTTCAGGAGCGCCTTCGCGCAGTCCAAGCTGTCGCAGCGCGGCCTCGAAAAGCAACCCGCCGACCCCTTCTTTGACCTCCTCCTCTTCTCGGCAGAGGACATGCGACACTCCGCTGCGGGCCGCAGTCGGGGCGGTCTCGACGGCGACGAAGACGATGACGACGACGACGACGAAGATGACGAGGAAGAGGACGCAGGGAGCGGCGCTGCGGCCGATTCGGCCCCGTCGGCCGAGTCGAGACCCAGGGACGTGCGCCAGTACCTGCTGCTGCTGCTCAACTACCATTCGCTCAAGACGGCCTCGCTCGTCTCGTCGTCGTCGCAGGAGCTCGAGCTGCTACAGAACATGCCTCCACCGCCTCCCGACGCGCCCTCGGACGCGACGGCCGCCAGGGACGCGGAGCAGGATGCAGAGTGGCGTCTCGACTCGTCGCTGCGAGCCGGAAAGGGGTGGAGCGGCCCACTGCTCGACGAGCGCGGCAAGCCCATGCGTCCCTTCACCATCACCTCGTCCTCGTCGGGCGCTGCGGCCGGGGCGGACCGGCAGAGCATCAAGGACTCAGTCTTCCGGCCCAGCCACCGCCTGCCCACGATGAGCATCGACGAGTTCCTTGACGAGGAGCAGCGCAGGGGCAACATCCTCACGGGCGGAGGCCACGAGGGCGCCGCCAAGGCCACGCCGCGCGAGGCGCGTGCCCTCCGCGCCGAAAACGACGGCACGCGCGAGGCCGAAGAGGCCGAGGAAGAGGCCAGGCTCGAGGCCGTCAACTGGGATCGCTTCACAGAGGAGAACAAGCGCGGCGCCGGCAATACCATGAACCGCGGCTGAGCAGGATGGGCGGGCTGGGACGGGACGCACGCGGGGCCTGCGCCACTGCGCATCGGCCACGTCGGCGGCGGATGCCATTCACTGTCGTCACTGGGGATTCTCGTCGACAGCGTTGAGCATCTACTCCTCCATGCTCAGACGTTCCTCGTCCTCTCCCTCGGCATCCATGTCCTCCTCCTCCACATCTTCCTCCTCCTCCTCATCATCATCTTCCTCGACGGCCTCAGCCTCCATCTCGTGCCGCTCCTGATCCTGCTGCTGCTGCTGTTGCTGCGCCGCCGGCACCTCTGCAGCCCCGCCCTTCTGGGCCATGCGGGCCACCTCGGCAAAGAGGCGCGGCAGGTCCGTGTCGTCGAGGAGGCGCTGGACGAGGTCAATCTCGGCCTGCAGGTCGTTGACGAGCAGGTCGACGGTCTGGTCCGGCAGCGATCCCGCAAAGCGCGCCGCCACCATTTCCCTCTCTGGCGGCGACACGAGGTCCGTGGGCGACTTGAAGGTCTCAAAGGCCGATTCTGCTCGACGTCGTCGTCCAATCACGGCGGGCAAGGAGGTTGGGTTGTTGGGTTGGATCGGGTCGGGTCGGGTCGGGTCGGGTTGGGGCTTCATTCAGCATTCGGTCGGGTCGACGAGGCAAACGAGCGAGGGGGGCAAGGCGCCCGGAAACGAGACGTACCGTGGGAAAAGACGCTGGCGAGCGTCGAGTAGAGGGCAGTGGAGCGGAGGTTGGACAGGAGCTCCTCGTCCGAGACGTTTGTCGTGTTGCTCAGTGCCGCCCAGCTGAGGGGGGAGGGGGGCGGTGGAGGGGAATGAGAGCCGAGTCGCCTGTCAGCATACCACCTCTTGCTGCTGCTGCTGCTGCTGCTGCTGCAGGGTCCTGCCTGCCATTGCGGCCCGTCTGGTCACTCACTCGTCTCGAAGAATGACACGGCGCCAGATGGAGCACAGAGCGGCATCCATGCGCGGCTTGGGCGCGTCCTTCCGGAGTCGATGGGGCAGGGGTGGGCGAGGAAGGAAGGAGGTGGATGGCTGGGTCAGCATGGCGGCCGCTTGGGGCGCGCGCGGCGACGAGGGCCGGGGGACGCACCGTTGCGCGGATGTAGACCTCGATTGCCGTGCTGTAGTCGTTTGCCTCTTGGCCGCGGCAGTCCTTGAGCGTGAGGAGGTCAATGAGGTCCTCGGACGACAGCACCTCGTTGGCCAGAGCGCGCTTGACCAGCCTGGCGTAGTGCTGTGATGAGTTCGACCGTGTCCGGGGGGATGGGGGTTTGAAGAGAGGGAAGGGGAGGATGGGAGCGAGGAGCGAGCGAGCGAGGGAGAATGGCGACGTGTCAGCGACTCCTACTGCCCCTCCGCCCCCGGCTAGCGTTCTTCCCGTGTGCCCAGGTCAGGTCGGATCGTGGATGCCACCACGACTCACATCTTCGAGGGCATAGGCGCGCATGTCATTGAGCCTGCCGGCGACAATGACGGCGACGTCGGCCGAGCCGTCGCCCTCCTCCATCAAGGCCTCCTGCAGCGCCTCTTGGAACATGCCGCGCAGCCGCTCGTGGACGGCGAGCAGGTCGAGCTGGTCGTCGATGTCCTCGATGCGCCGTTGCTCGCGCACCGTGGCAATCTGCTCGACGTTGAGCTCGGCGACGTACGCCAGCTTGGCCAGGCTCAGCATCGCCTTCTTCTGCCCGACGTCGCGCTCGGCGGGTGCCACGGCGTCGCGCAGCGTCGTCGAGGCGGCCCCAAACTGCCGCAGCGCCAGGTGGTGCAGCCACTCGATGCGCTCGTTGCCGCCCCGCTCGAAAAAGCCTAGCACCAGCTCGGCGTACTGCGCCTTTTGCGTCAGCAGCCGCCGCGTCTGGCCCCGCTCGACCATCCAGCCGTACAGCTCAAACGCAAACGCCTCGCGGTACTTTTCGAGGTAGTGCTCGATCCGCGCCTCGGAGCGTCCCAGCGACGCGTCGTTGCACAGCTCCGTCAGCGTGCGGAAGTCGCCGTGGCGCTCGGCCAGCGCCATGGCGCGCTCCGTGCGGCCAAGGTCGAAGAGCGGGTGGACGAAGAGGGGTCGCACGCGGCGAAAGGTCGCCTCGACCACGTTGAGCTCGCGCTCAAACGCCGCATCCGAAGCAGAGGCGCGCAGATAGCGCAGCCTCTCCTCGTAGGCCCCCAGCGCGTGCTCGGCCAAGAGGCAGAGCTGGCCCTTGAGCTCCGACTGGAGGCGCTGCTCGTAGACCTGCCCACGCTCGGCGGCGGCGTCCGTCGACGAGAGGTACTCGTTGACGGGCGTGTCGACGGCGGTGCCGAGCTCGCGCGTGCGATCCGGAAGCAGCGACGACGTGGCGTTGAAGAGCGTCTCGAGCAGCTCGATGCTGCCCGGCTTGGCCGTCCACGGCTCGAAGGCGGCGAGCGAGTCGGTGATTCCGTAAACTTCGCCGCGCTCCTTGCGGTACCGCGCGGCCGCCTGGAACGCCGCCAGCGCGATCCGGTTGGCCTCCACCGTCTCGCTGGAGCGCACCGCCAGCGACTGCGACGCTGCCGCCTTGGCCCGCTTGAGGAGCTGCTCAAACACCTGTCCGACCTGCTGGATGTGGTGTCGGAAAAAGGTCCTGACCAGATCGTCGACCATGCCCTGCCCGCTCTCGGTCATGACCTGCTCGACGCAGTCCGAGAGCGGCGAGCTGGTCCTCGAGCCGCGGATGTTGGCGAGGGAGATGTAGTCGTTCTGATACAGCCAGAGGTCGTACGCGGCCGCGGCCAGCTCCGCATCGGAGCGCAGTCGGCGTCGGCTCGTCTGCGAGAGCTTGCCGAGGTGGCCGCTGTTGAAGACGTAGACGATGAGGGAGCGCAGCTTGTCCAGTCGGTCCTTGAGGCTGAGCCGGAGGTCCACCGGGAATGGCGTGTGAATGACGGCGGAGTTGCGGGACTCGAGGATCTCGCTGCTGAGCTCCTCGCACGCCGTGATGAGCGTTCCTTGAAAGTCGGCCGGCAGCTCGAAGGAGAGCGGGTTGAGGGGCGACTCGGCATAGTAGAGCGCCTGTTCGACCTTGACCTTGAGACGCTCCGTCTTGGCCCTCTGCCTCTCCTCGGCCGACGCCTGCTTGTTGCACATCGATGCCACCTGCTCGAGGCCCAGTTCGATCAGCAGCGAGCCGCTCGAGGCCGTGATGAGCGAGAGGGTCGCGATGGGCGCCGACCCGCCAACGTCGGCCGGGTCAGAGCCGGTGCCGATGAAGCGGTTGCGTGCCGTGTCCTTGAGCTTGACGACCTCCTCGAAGCCCTCGCACCCCGCCTGCAACGACTTGAGGATGACGGTGTCGGCAAAGGTGACAAATGCGGCCGGCCCACCATACGACAGGCTGAGCCTGGGCGTGGCGTAGGGACGCGGGTCGTTGAATGCCGTGTATCGCAGCGGCAGGATGGTGTTGACGACGAACGAGCTGCCGTCCTTGAGCAGATCGAGCGTGGCCAGGCCGTACGAGAGCGGCGTCGAGGCGCCCCGGTTCTGCGAGTAGAGGACGACGAGCTTGCCATCGGCCTGGACGACTCCATCGACGAGGTCGAAGGCAAGGCCCTCGGCGGCGCTGTACCTCTCATCGCTACCCTGGAGCACGCCGCTGGCCACCACCTGTCGGACGTCGTGCTCGGCGATCAGGCGCTCTCCCGCTCCGTCGACCATCCTCCACTTCTGCACGGTCCGGCTGCCGATGGCGTACACGTCGCGCGCCGCCTCGTTTTCCTGGACGGGCCCGACGGCGATGGCGGTGATGCCCTCGTTGCCGAAGCCCATCGACGAGCCTGAGCCAAAGAGGCGGCCGAGGATGCCCCTGGGCTGCGAGAAGGGAGCCAGCTCGGCCTGCAGCCTGCCGCCCTGGGAGACGATGCCGAGCTTGAGCATGCGCGCCTGGCTGGTCGCAAGGACAAAGGCGAAGTCGTCCAGCCTCTGCATCTCCATCACCGTCTCCTGCGGATTGAGAGAGACCTGTATCGTCTGCGCCAGGTCTTCCCGGGCCATGGACGCAGAGATGCCCTCCCAGAAGCGGACCTGCCCGCTCGGCGTGACCAAGACGATGCCCGGCTCGCGCGCGGCGGAGCGAGGAATCAGCCCACACTGCGCCAGGTCGTCGGTCGAGTGCATGCTGGACGACGAGGACTCGGGGATGTCGAACGTGAAGCACGTCGGCGAGCTGGTGCCGTGCTGTTGAAGGTTCGTGGGGGAAGTGCAAAGGGTGCCGGGCTCGTCAGAGGGCCATTCCCGGTGCTGCGCATGAAGCGCGGGCTGCCTCGTAGTACTCACGCTCTGGTAGTTCCACACGAAGCACTGCGTCCTGGACACCATGTATGCGTAGCCGGTAGCGGTGTCCATGGCTCCCTTGAACGCATCGAGGTAGAAGTCGACCGACTCGAGCTGCTCGAGCACCTCGGTAGGCAGCCTCGAGAAGGCGGTGACGGCCATGAGGTCGTCGCGCATGAGCGTGGCGCCTTCCTCGAGGTGCGCCTCCTCTGCGCTCGCGGCGTGGCCAAACAGCTGCTGCTGGGAGTCGACGGTATCCGCCACGGACGCGTCGTCTCTGAAGCTACGAGCGACGGACGAGCGAGGAGTGCCCTGTCGACCTAGGCCCGAGGAGCCTGGGAGGAATCTCGCACCGTTGTGGGTGCCCGTGTACGACGTCGATGCCGCAGCTGCTGCCGCGGCCGCACCTCTCCTCCGACTGGCTGCAGTCGCTGACGATGGGGTCAGCAGGTGGTTCGGGGTGATATCTGCGGCGAACAGAGACGCTGCCGGTGCGAGTTTGGAGGGTGTGTGGGTGGCATCGTCGAGGTTGGATGTCGAGGCTAGGGGTGTGGTCCCGCGAGAGGGACGAGCGGATGATCCGCGCGGGCGAGATGCGCGGTTGACGCCGCCACTGCCCGCTCGGGAGGGCGTGGAGAACATGGCGTTAGGTGGTGGTGGTCTTTCTAAGGCCGCCGTCGTCGCCGACCTTGTCGCTGCCGTTCTTGTCCAAAGGTAAGAGAGCCCTTGCCGGTGCGCGATGCAGCGAGGCAGGCAGCGGTGGCACTCTGAGAAGCGGCAATCGAGACGGGGCGTGGGCGTAGTATTGAGTGGGGAGTGTCTGCAGGGGTGTTGGTGATGATGATGATGGTGGTGGTGGTGGTGTTGATGTCTGCGAGAGCAGGGCTGCAGTCTTCGATCACGCCCTGTCTCTGCGTCCAAAATTGTTTCCTTCCTGGCCCCGCCCCCCCGCCTCGCGCCTCCCGCCCGCGCCTTCGCCTGCGCCCGACCCGCTTCGACCTGTCATTTTCGCGGCACGCGTCTCGTGGAATTGGTCTCCCTGGCTCGCCCTCGCAATCGCCGCCAGCCATCCTTTGGGTCAGGCGACCCCTTCGTTCAACGCTAGCGACCGGAAAGTCCGTCGTTGAATAGCCGGGCCGAGAAAGAATACAGACGGTACAGAGCATGGCCGGAATGGATGGAGTGAGAAGAGAGGCATGAGTGCGAGCTGAGCCGGTCCAAAAATGCTGCCGGGCACGGCACGCCAACAACGCTGATGTGGAGCCGCTGCGATGCGACGACGACGCCGACAGAGGCAGTCTCAGAGGGCTTCGTCCATGGCCTCTATGGCGCCGACGGGCTCATGGGCCGTAGGCGAGCTGACGTCGGTCCAGGGGAACGGGTTGGCCGCCGACGACATCAGGCTATCGTCCGACGCCGGATCCGCCTCCTCTTTGAGCCTACCAGCCACCCCTCCTCGCCTTCGCCGCTTGCCACCCGGCCCCCAGATGATGACCGTGTGGTCATCGCCGCATGATGCCAGCATCGATGGATCCTTGGGGTGCCACGCCACCGCGTTGACCGTCCCCGCCTCGTGGCCGGACAGCACCTCGATGCTGCGTCCCGATGGCCGGTGCCAGACATAGACTTGCGAGTCTGAAGTCGGCAGGCAAGGGGGCAGATGGACGAAGAGCAGCCAAGAGCAGGGAGGCATGAGCAAGCTTCCCGGCGGCGGTCGCTGCCGACCGACTCTGGTCCTCGCAGTCCGAGCCGCACTCACCTTCGCTGCCCGAGACGACGAAATTCTCGTCGATGCCGCCGAAGCCGCACCGCACCACGTGCTGCTGCATCGCGTGGCCCGTGAACTTCCTCACCATCGTCTGCCGCTCAATGTTCCAGAGTTGGACCTCCTGCAGAGCCGCGGCGAGAGGGGGGTTCGAGGGAGGAGATGATGGTCAGCGCTCGAACATCCAGAGGGGCCCTGGCGCGGCCACGGCGGCCACTCACATCGGGGCGGTGGTTGATGAGCGCGAACCGAGAGTCGCGGCTGATGCAAACGCTGCTCATCTCGGCGTGCATGTAGACCGCTCTGCGGCGTTGAGTGGCGCGAAAGTGTGAATGTGGCCGAGAGCGTCAGCATGGATCCCGCCGATGCATCGAGTCGGCTCCGGCCTTGTGCTGCCCGGGCACTCACCCGACCTCTTCTCTCGTGTCGATGTCAATAAAGTGAATACGATGCTTCTCGTCGCTCATGGTCCGCGAACCTCCTCCGATGTCCTCGACCGCATGGCCCCGACCCGTGCGCTCCGGCAGGCCGGCGTGATGTCCTGCGGATGTTGAGGCGGGCGACGGGCTCTCCGAGTACTGTGACGACCCGGTCGTTGAGGATGACGGCGCGTGCTGGTTGTGGCTGCTTCGACCCGCCGAAGTCTGCCCAGCGGTGGTGACGGCGCTGTCGCGATTGCTGACCGCGACCAGATGCCGCCCGTTTGGCGACACGGCAAGAGCAACGACCCGGAAAGGCGATGTGTTGATGACGTCGACCATGCTTCCGCGGGAGCTCTGTAGGCGTCAGTGGGGGATGTTCGGTGATCAGCCGACTGGGCCGCGCGTCTCGTCGCGAGCCTCACTGGCCAAGCGACTTACCCAGAAGATGATCTTGCCGTCCATGCCGCCGCTGACGAACCTGCCGTCCGGCAGCCAAGCCGCGGTGCCGACCGTGTAGTCGTGCTCGGAGAAAGTCTGGTGCTCGTGGCTCTGTTGTCCGAGCCGGAAAGACGACGGAACGAGGGCCTATGATCAGCGCGAGGCTCTTGACCGGTGCCGACGGGGACCTCGCCCACCTGGCAGGAACTCACGCCGACGCTCCACAGCGTCACATCGCTCTCGGACGTGGCGAGCAGCGTCTCGTCGTCGGGCGACCACGATATGCTCGATACGGGATCGGAGTGGGGTCCGAAGCGCTCCAGCATCCGGTACTCGTCCTGAGTCGTGCATCACGTCCAATCGGAATGGGTCGGTCAGCGTGCCTCCAGGGACGAGGAAGGGGCCAGAGCCATCAAAGGCGGACGAGACAAAGGCTGCCACTCACCTCGACGGACCAGACGATGACGTATTTGTCTCGCCCCGTCGTGGCGAGCTTGGTGCCGTCGTGCGAAAACTCGAGGTGCCACACCTCGTCGTGATGACCGCGGAGGATTTGCGCCGCCTCCGAGGGGAAGGCGGAGCGGTCCGACTCGTGGTCGGTCAGCAGCGAGATGTGGGCGTCGGGCATCAGGTTGAAGAAGGGATCCTGCTGCTTCTGATAGTGCTGCGCCTGCTCGAGCAGCGCCGGCAGCCGCCGACTCGGCACCATTACCGTCGGCGAGACCGCGCCTACAGCCAGGGCACAGAACAGATGCGGGGGGGCAAGATCGACCCAACCGTCAGCACGAGGGCTGCGCATGCGTCGCGAGTGCGAGCAGACTCACTCTCAATGTCCACGAGCAGCCGACGTCGCGACTCGCCCCTGCTTCCGTCCCAGTCTGCCCGCCGCTGCAGCTCCTCCGGGTTGGCGCACATGACCAGGCTGCGGTTGATACACGGGCGAGTCGAAGAGTAGAGCGGGTCAGACACATCTTTGCGCGAACCTGCTCAAGCTTCTCTCTGAAATAGGAATAGGACGACGCACCTCGATAGAAGATGGAGCTGCTCAGTGTCCTGGTTGATGGGGGTCAGCCGGTCCCGCAGCACCGACAGCGCCTTCTTGGTCTGTCGAGCCTCGAGGAGCTCGAGATACCGCTGCCGTTGGATCATGAATCGGATCGACTGTTCATGCAGCGGTGGACGAGGGAGACAAAGTCCACATCAGCATCGGAGATGCATTCATCCGTTAAATCTGACAGCGAAGTCGGCCACTCACGTCGAGACCGGTGACGTCCGGCCGCCGAAGGACGCTGTCGAGCGGCAGCGTCGAGGGTTCCCCTCCGCCGTTCGATGCGATGCGAACATGACCGCGACTGGCCTTCCTCGCTGCGTAGTTGAGCCCGTCTATCAGCAGCCTCTCAGCGTTTCTCCAGTCGCCAGACAGGACTGCGCCGCGAAAAGCCGTAATCGAAGGATGCTCCAACGTCAGGCCTGATTCTGCCTCGAGCGCCTTGGCCGAAGATCTGTCGAGAGTCGGAGCGGAGAAGGTCAGTGCTGCCCGAGCGGCTGGCGGGAGCGCTGCACCGATGCTGCCACTCACTCGAAGCCCAGGTCGCGGAGGGACTGCAGCGTCAGCCGTACCAGCTCGCGCTTATCGATGGCGCTGCCGGGCCAGAGCGGCACGAATGCCGCCTCTTGGCGACCGAGGTCGTCATCGTCGCTGTCCGAAAGGCTCGACTTGACGCCGTTGCCAGTGCCGTTGGACGCCAGCTCGGTGGCTCGGGCCGCGCTGCTCGACTCGCCACGCTCCGCCAGGTGGCCATTTGTGCTCGAGCTGCCGTTGGCATACAGGGGCGAGGAGCCCGAAGCGTTGCCGGTGTCGTTGTCGTCGTGCATATCGGCGTCGCGGGCGGGGCGAGGGCCGCTGTGAGCACCAGTGTCCTTTGCCTTTCCGGCTGCCAGGTCAGAGGAGGATGCTGTGGCGGCGGCGGAGGACGAGGAGGACGAGGAGGCGGCGGGTGCGTCGTCGGCTAATCGCTCCGGCGAGGCGATCCTTGTCCTCTTGGTGGGACGCCCGTCGTCGGGGCTCTCTCTACCTCGTTGCGACTGCGTACTGGCTCGGTGTTCTCGGAATAGTGTTTCCGGTGCGGGGGATAAGGGTGAGGTAGGACGAGGAGGGGATCAAAGGGGGTTCGCTGGACAGAGTGCGGGCGGCTTGACGGAGGGATGACGAGGGCAGCGAGGGAGGCTGCGAAACGACGAGAGGGGGGATGCGCTGGAGACGTGGTGAGGTCAGGGAGGTGGAGGGGGGATGCCACAAGAGTAGCTCGCCGTTGGTCGGTGAGCGGGCGTGGTGGGTTTCGAGCGCGAGGAACGAGCTTCTGTGGAGCTCAGCGTGGCGGTCAAGTCGTCGGTTGATGAAGAGCAGCTCAGAAGGCGGATGTATGTGCCTGGATGGGTGAAATTGGGATGGAAGTAGCAGCAGCTAGTCGAGGCGATGAGAGCAACGGATCAAGCGGCAACCATGCTGTCGAGGAGGGGGGGAGACTGGCATGACTGCGCAGGCCCAAGCAGAGGATAGGGTAGGGTAGGGCAGGGCAGACCACAGGGCCGCGCCACCTCTGCCACTCCCACTCCCTGCCTCTGCCTCTCTGCCTTGTCTCGCCCTCGCCCGCGCCGTTGGCAGCTGGGAGGCCTGCCGTACCTCCTTGGAGCCGGGGTAACGTCGCCCCGCCTGGCCGGCCTGCGTTGGCAACCCACCGACTCGACTTTTTTGGGCAGGCGAGGCGGGCCAGGGCCAGGGCCAGGGCCAGGGCCAGGGCCAGGGCCAGGCAACGGATCGGCCTCGACCCCCGCTTCCCTGCTAGCCTGCCTCCCCTTCCCCCTCCCCTCCTGGCCGCTTGGCTTGGCCTCCACTTTGGCACGCAGCCAGGCCTGGCAGCCAGGGGCCAGACCCTTTCACCCGGCTCGGGACACGCTCGCACTGGCCACCCGACGCCGACAGCGGCCAATGACAATGCATCGGGGAGGGGCGAGCAGACGGGGTCAGGGCAGATCGGATCGCATCGGGTCGGCCTGGCCTGGCAGGCCTTTGTCAAGGTCCACCACCGGAGCGGGGACCCATCACACGCTTCCCCTCCCGGCCAAGGCAGGCCAGCCACAAAGGAGACGAGAAGGCAGAAGAGAGCAGAGCGGAAAGCTACATATTTCCCAGACGACTTCAGCAACGACACGACTACACGGAAAGAGACAAGAAGAAGAGAGGGGGGGGGGGGGACGGGGGGGACACGGAGGAGAGCGAGTCGCGACC